TTTTTATTTATTACCCAATTGTCATTCAATCAATGTCAATAAAACGTTGTGGTTTTGTTAATTATGAATATGGAGTTTCTTCTGGTGCAATGAGATTCGAAATAATATTTCCAGTGGCGTCACATTGGGTAAATTTATCGATATTTATGGTGAATGTCGTTGTACGACACCGGTTTTTTCGAGTTTCATATTTCAATTTATTGAACTTTTGAAATAACAACTTTTTCATCCTGTGTGTGTTTTTGTATCTAGAGTAATTTTCGAGGAAACAATAAAAAATCTTTTTGACTCCAAATTTAAATGTAGGCGTGTTTTCAAGACTTTCATTGAGATTACTCAATAACCCCAATTAGAATCATTTTGAAATTTTGGGGCTTCCTCAATCTCCAACCATTCTAAATATTGGCACCATGAAACCTCATACAGGGGTGTTATAAATAAAAACAATCAATACTTCCAACTTCAACATCCTGTATCCCAAAAACGGAGCAACTGAGGACACATGTTTATATGAACTTCAATAGAATATCACAAGGAATCATCCCCTGAATATTTTCGGTGTTATTTAGATAAGCACCTAGAATTCAACTTACTTAAATATTCCCATTACAACTGTTCTAGAGCTGATCAATTTCATTTCACAAATAGCCTTGACTGCGTCAGATCCTTATTTTAAATCCAATTTTGTTTTTTGAATTTACCAATGAGTTTTGCTCAGCGAATAGTAAACACAACTGACTGTCATAGAAATAATCGAAAATAGTCTACGAGGCTGTCCTATTACACCAATCTTCATTTTTTATCACAAAAGGTTATAAGTTCATTGAACTTCTTTCGAGAATCTCGCAATCAGAGCTGAAAATTGTCGAAGACGTAAGAAATCCACCATCTACCACAATCCTATGTATAAAGAAGTAACCAACGGTAATGAAATAAAGCAAAAAACGTTCAGTATGGTTTCATCGAAACCGCTGGATATTTCATGGATATTATCGAAAGATTACAACAACAAATCATTGTTGACCTTGATTTGCTTAACAGAGCGCAACAGAGTTCTCAAAAATGACATTGCATGTTAACTGATTCAAAATCGTGCACAATAGCATTATACTGAATAATAGGTAGTGAAATGTTGATGCTGGTTTGTTATGTATTCACTAAACTCTGTTTATGGCAAAGAGCGGTTCGCCTATATTGTTTAACATAACACCAACATTAATTTGATGTTTTTATTTACAAGCTCTCTGATAATCAGGCAAGGCTTATTTATTTTACTCAATGTAGGTCGAATCGTGTTTCGTATCAAACGGTGGCGATGTAGAATTTGTTTATATGAATAATCCACCAAAAACGCATATTTCGTACTATATTGTATGAATGTAAAAAAAACAAATCGTTCACTCTTCATTTCGTATAGGAGAAGAGAAATTGAAAAAGAATTGTTTTGGATGTATGATAAATTGATATTCATCATACAGGGCGTTGAAAAAAAATTCTGAATTGACAAAACTATACAAAAAGCAAGTTTTCGTCATTCAAGTTTGAACACCTTGATTGGGTATGAAAATATGATAACGAATATTCTCAGATATATTATGAATATGAAAAAATGGATGTTGTGTATGAAGAAATACATTGAGAATTCGCATTATCTTTGTGATGAATATATCGACTCTCTATATTATTTATCCGATTTGAAAGAGAATGTGAATTCTCAATTCCAGAGGATTTTTATTTTCATGTTTTTTTTGTGTTCAACAGAAAGAAGAGTAGTAATTTCCTGTTGAATATTCAGAATGATAGCATGTGCATGTATATTTTTATTTGAAGGAGAATGCAAATTTTCAACTTCAGAAGATTTCATTCTCAGATTCTTATCGTGTATTCAATAGATATAATTCAATGTTCGTCGTGGCATAAAGCCAGAAAAGAAGTTGTTTTCTGTTGAATATACCGATAAAGAGTTGATATATTCATCACAAAGAGAATGACGAATTCTCAACGTATTTCTTTATATACATAATTGGTTTCTTATTCATGACATTACTGGGAATATTCCTTTTGAAAAAAAATCTTTTGTCATTTGCGGTATCAATCATGGAATTCACATTATTTATAATAAAATTGGAAAATACTTATGGCCCCCATTATTTGATTTGCAAAACAATACTCCTCCAATGATGTCACTACTATTATTCTAAATTACTAAATTATACTACTTTACTCTTTTTTATCGCTTGGAGCGCACGAGAGGGAATCCCTATAATATTCAAAGAATATCGTGCGTTCCTAGGGAGGATAGGGACAGGAAGTAGGTATTGGAATTTTGTTTTTCATTCTTCTACTCACATTTGATTATCTACTTAGTAAATCACCAGAATATTTCGAATTATTCCCAAGATATTTTTCTAGGAATCGATAGAAAATAATCTGATGTTTCTGTTTCTATCTCTTGGAGCGTACGAAAGGAAGTTCCTATAGTCATCGAGGAATATTTTGCGCACCTAGGGAGGAATAGGAACGATGATTGGAAGAATTCCGAAGCTTTGCCGTTCTATAGACACACGGGTTTTGGTAAAGACTTGTTCGACATATTTCGAGGTTGCCGACGAAAAATGTGCTGACTGGGTTTGAGGAGTAGGTATATTTCATGCAAAGTCAGTTGAACAGATCATCAAACATAGTTGGTAGTGAATAACAAAGGTTAGTAAACTAGGAGCCAGTCACTACATTCATCATACTATACCACAACAAAATTGTATCATACTTATACTATTAAGTATCATACTATTCTGTAGTGGTTATATTCGATATATTATAGTTATTATACAATTTTGTAGTGGTATTATTAGACGAATGTAGTGAGTGGCGCCTATTTTACTAAACATTTGGTATTTACTACCGACTATTTTTTTCAGTGATAGTGATGGAATGATAGCAGAGATTTTTGAAGAATATTTCCCGTGGACCTATCTATCGAAAAGTGAGAGTTCTTCCTATTGAAACTGAACACCCTGTATATACAGATTCTTTGATGTCAAATATCTGTTAAGAAATTTGTCAAGAGAAAATTGGTTTAATTTATGGTGGTTGAACAAAAAATATGGCATACTCGTACTGTACATATTCCACATTTAGAAGAGACAATTATGAGTAGGTAATTAGAATTTGGTATACATCGTAAAGGGCACTCAAGAAATGAATAAGTTCGTGAAAAGTAACCACGAGTCTACTGCTTTTTCGGTAGACCATATTGGATTTTTGTCCCAATTCGAAATCTGTTCAGGAAGCGCTTTCAGCAAAAACATAAAAAATATCAGTTCATCCGCCATATTTTAAACCTTTAGATAAGCACATTTTTCTGGAACTAACATGATGAAAGGTTCATGAAACATCTCAATTTTGTTTTTAAATCTATCAGCGGCTCTCTGTACTTTACCATTTTATGGAGGAAATCACTTAAGAGTTTACGATTATTGAGACTTATTTCAAGCCATCTCAATCTAGATATCCATTTCGGATAACCATCTGGTAAAATCTTTATCTATTATAAGGACCCTCGCTTCATAGCTTCGTCTTCGACAATCCACAAAAACGGCTTTCACCATAATCGATAGGCCCGGCCGAAAAACGATCAACGTATTTTCCAGAATCCAATCTGACGTGAAAAGTCCTATAAATAATAATAAAAGTTTTCATCTCCTTCATCAATTATTAACGTACCAAAACACGCACCGAATTCGCTCGATTTAATGAAATCGCAACGCGCGCAGCCTCGCCAGTGGCGTAACTTCGAGGATATTCCACCATTTTTACTGTACTTTTTTCTACTTCCCTTTCACCCACTTCGATAAGAATGACATAGCTTGGGAGAATTTCCTACTGGAACAATACAAGATTCGCCTTCTTCTCATCATAATTAATAATTGTTTGTGAAATGATTTCTAAAATATTTGATACAGCCTTTGAAGATGACTTGCTACTGCCAAAATTACTTAGATCATCATTCTCCCACTTTCCACCATTACTTATCACTGTGTGGTGGACCGACTTGAATTGTTCCATTTTCATGAAAATTCTTGTTGAGAGTTTTTCACATTAATTTCAGTAAAGCTTGTATCAGTTTCTTTTTTGACAGCCTCTTTCCAAATTTGTTTGAAGAATGGTTTCAAGAAGCAGTTTGCTACAAAGAAATTCACCATGTTCTCACAAAGTCTAATCGATTTCAAAATATGTGACTAGTCGAGAAGGGCACTGAAACATATTCATCACTGATTTTTTTTTACTGTAGCACTGCAGTTATCTGATTCGCGTGAAATACTATAGGTTCGCTATAATTTTCATCAAGATAGACTATCTAGATGACAAAAGGTTAGAAGACTTCATTCATATCCATTCATGAGTTTCAGAGGCTTTTCCTCAAGATATTCTCTCAAATTAAACTCCACAAACTGCCTTCAGGAATAGCAGGATGTCTGCAACATGCAATAAATATTTGCCGAGTCATGAATTTGATACAATTCGTTCATTTTTAAGGAAACTGTCAGATGAACTAGCTAATAAAACCTTGACAGTCCAGTAAATACGTAATATGTCCTCATCAGACATAAAATCGATCCAGTTCGGCCAAAAGATCTCGCTGCAGAGAAAATGCATATCAATGCATCTTCTTCCTGATAAATCGGGAGAGCGATAAGAAAATGAAATATCAACAATTGTACCTCCCTTGGCAGTCCCCGCGAGATTAACTTGTCGAGTTGAGGCTTCGCACCCCTTCGTGGTCACTTTGGAGACCTGCAGAACATCTCTTTCCAAAGACTCGTTCATCCAACAAACAGCGAGGTTCTGGAACACATCGCCAAGAGAGGTGTTTCCCGAGGCATATTACCTCCAGAAATTCAAGAAGAACACCAATTCCTACTTTATTTCCCTTGGTTCTCACGATGATCTCTGAACATTACAGGATATCCCTCTTCGTGGGAACCAGAACATGAAAAAAAGGCGAGGCAACCCAACTCTTGGGTATGTGAAAGTATTGAAAAACTTAGAGAAAAGAAAATTCTTGTTCTCAGGAAGAAAAATGTTTTCCTTCCGACGGAAGAAAAAGTATCCTTGTCCTCCCATCTCTGAGGGGTCGAAAATGGAGTTTTCTAGTCAAATAGTAAAAGAAGATAATATTCTTGCTCCTCGTGAGCCCAACTCAATTCACCGCCGCTGCGTTTCATCCCACCCCTGCAGCATTCGACTCCTAAAGATGCTATTTTGACCCGGCTACCGTCCCATTACCCCAGTCTGGTGTAGTGCCCTTTCGGCGTGTACAGGCAGAGCAGGCTTTGGAAAGGGCTCGAGAGTTCGACTGTCGCTCGCTCGATGGTTGTCGGAATCGCGTCCGACCACTCCGACCGTCAGTACGATGATAACTCCCTACGCGTGCGGACCTCTGCACAGAACGAAAGAGCAAGAAGAAGAAGAGGAACAGTATGATGTCGAACACGAACACTACTCGACGCGCTACTCGCAATGTACGTTTGTGTTTTGGTGGAGTGAGGGGTTTTTGGTGGAAAGTGAATCTTGTTCGTGTTTTGGGTGGTCCTTCGGTCCGGATTCTTGGATATTACGCTGCTGAATTATCGGAGTTTAACGTCTTTCTCGTTGCCTCGGCTTAGGTCGTTTACTGCCTGCTGTTGAAATTCCATCGGTTTCCAGTGCTTTGGATTTGAACGGGCTTGCAACTACCCTTGTGCTATCAAACATTCTCAAACATTATCTCCAGTTAACTAGCCATTCATTAGTTTCGAATTATGAACATGACCCTCTACAGTTCGCTTCGTTTTGAATTGATGACCGTACTCCGTTGAGTTTGCTCTTGAGTTTCCTGGTTGATTCACTTAGTCATCCACTTGAAATCCATTACCATTCCATTCTCACTAAGATATCGAATAAATTGCCATGCAGTATACTTAATTACTTCAGAGTTCGAGAAACTCTGCGAATAATTACTTAATAAGATTACCATGATAATTGATTTTCTCTTATGCACTTCGGATTGTTGGTATTTATTCGAAGCAGGCTTCGCACCTCACTTATATACAGATCATATTCCGACAGAGAAAACATACGCGTTACGTTAGCAAAATAGTTTTCCAGCTCATTTGAAATAATTTGACTAGAGAAATATAATCTAAGGACGATTCAGTTTCCTTAGCTTTTAGTCTTGCCATTGGGAATATTGGGATAGCTGAAATCAAAGCTGCAATGTCGTCGCTCGTGTTTGGTTAGATATATTCACAGTCTGAAAATATATCCGAGGAATTGCTTCTTTCGTTTAGTTTTCCCCGAGGTTTTCCCTCGGTTTTTCCCATCATTTCGTTGATTTCACATCAATTCATATTGCTGTGCTTTAATTCCCATTTTCTCCCTTCATGTCTTCTCAATTCTTTTCACTTCATTCCATTTTCCTTATTTTTTATAATTCGCATTGATCTTCTCGATTTCATCTCATTTTATTCTCTCTCACCCATTTTCCTATCTATTTCAATTGCACAAAGTACTTCCGTATCTCTGGTTAGGCTATATCATCCCAAGTCCTTCTCGATGACTCGAAATAGATACCAATTCGTCTCACCTCCCTGAGTGTTCCTACACTTATTTCTTCTAATTTTCATCAGTTTTTCCTCATTACCTCTCAACGAGCCTCTCAATTACAATTTCTCCTCATGGAAAACCCTCCTTTTACTTTTTTATTCCTCTATATTCAAAGTTTCCTGTAATTTTCATTGAGCTTTCCAATTTTTTTGAGTTTGAACCGAGGTTTCCCTGAAATCGTCATAATTTTGTATATTTCCTCTAACCATCTTTAACTCTTTATAGATTCACCGTTTTTTTATTACCCAATAAATGAAGACGTACCAAAGCGAGTACCTTATAGGCTTATACATATAACCGATATCTAACAAACTAACACAATATGCCTATTTTTCAAGTTTGGAGGTCAGTTTCCATTTCTCCAATATTTAATCACTCAATTCCCTTTTATTTCATCTTATATCACTGAGTTTACGTGACAGGTCATCAAGACTATTATCATTATCCTGAAGCGGAATCAAATGGATGTCGTTACTATTCAGTTTAAGCTACTATCTGCAACTCGAAAGTAATGCGTCTGAATTCGTGTCGATGCAAATAATCACATTACACTCTTTCATTGGATTATACCTCGGATTACATTGTCTACTATGATAATTTTCTGTCTCACTTCCATCGACCCAAGCTTCGATCGTTAAATTTTATCACAAAAAGGGCATTCAACGTAAGTGGTCTGTTTTGGTTCACTTCATAAACAGGAAATTCCTTTGGACCCTTCCAAATTTACTGCCTTCCTTTTAGTGTACCCCACGAACACCGAAGAACTGATCCGAATCCAGATGTTGTGAACTTGATCTGCTTTCATTAGATATGTTTTTGACGGAGTCAGCTAACTCTCAGCCTTGCTTTCAGTAAACTTCCAACTGTATCCAAAATTATAAGTATCTTGTGCAACACAATATCAATTAAAAATAACTTTTCAGTAGGACTAAATCCTGAATAATATCACATTGAATTGATAGGTATGCTTTTTCTGTTGTTATTTATTCATTAGGTAATGTTCATCGTCAACCATAACAGAATGATCCAGTAATAGGAATATGTATACTCTCGTGTATACTGTTGTCATAACACGTGATAAAATCTGGGATTTTCCGGGAAATAGAAACTCCATGCCTGTCTGAATCCGTCACCGAAATAACTTTCCGTGTGGGAAATAAGACCCACTTATTTCTCTCGAGTAATAAATAAATCGTATTATCCTATAAACCGCAGCGTTTTATGGTAGACATCTTGGTGTTTGTTTACATTTCTCATAAACAAGCTCCTTCGAAATCATGTACTAGATGACAAAATAGGTCACTATGTTTGCAAGACGTACATTGAGAAGTTTTTGATGAATCTTCAGCATTCTTAGCTTGTACATCTAAATACACATTTAGATCTATGGCTTGTAACAATACACATGACACGTTTGGAGTCATTTACATCTTTACATATAGGTACACGAGTAGGTACACGAGTCTGGACAATTTCTGTAAATATTCCGCTCTGAAAAATCATGGTTCTCTCAACTCAAACTCTTTGGAAGGTACCACAATCAGTAGCATATCAACGACCATCTGCATCGTCTTAAAACTCTACTTCATACCCAAGGCCACGAGTGTATATTGATCAGTATATCTTCGATATCTATCTCATATGCAAGCAATTCGAGTGTGCAGAGTTGGGGACCTAGCTAATAGCTGGTATAGCTAGATTTTCATACTATTCCATAAGCTCGACAGCGCTAGAAATCTCTTCAGATCGCTTTTAAGGCAACAAATCTCTCGACAAATCTCTCCAAAGACTGACAGATATGCAAGAAAATACTAACTGGAAACATCCGACTTTCAACCAACCAACTGAACAAGATTTGATACTAGGGATACATTATTCATTATATGACTTTGTCATTGATAATTATTATATTAGGCAAGAAACGCATCCCTGAATCAACGAGTTCTCCTGCAAACGTTAATCTATTTCTATCGTATCCTTTGCAGAACTCTTGCAATTATTGCACACCAGATACATCTAATTCCCTCTAGAATCCCTCTCGACATTTTTATTTTGTTAACACTTCTCTTATTACTACGCTTTTAGTAGGCTAGGTATGTTTGTATGTTTGCATGTAACGGAATCTTTTCGGTAATCGTGATTTTGACCCACTGTGTCGAATTGAATTGAAACTTCGGATATATGACAATTGATAGCATTTCAATAGTTCTGTTCCATTATCCTAATCAGCATGATGAACGATTTTTTTTGTCGAAGAAAATGGTGAATGACGTTCCGCCACCAAAAGATTAAATGAACCTTCACCAAAATTTCAAATGTACGTTTTCATTCCTTTTGATAACTTTTTGCACTGTTTTTCATATCCAGAGATATGACAGGGTCTTGCACCAAGTTCCCATATGAATGGTTACATCCAGAAAGACGAAAAGGGAGTCTGATAAATGGTCACAACATCCAAGAAAGGCAACAAGCGTGCAAATTACTTTTACTACGTGGCGGTAGCTACAGAAAATTTGAAAAAACTAAATAACACGCTTTAGTAGTTAGCCGACTGAGGAATAGAAGATGAATAGTGGTTTGAAATAGTAATAACCACTTTTTTTGTAGATAGTTGAACTAAAGAATTGTAGAGAATAATATAATGTAAGTGTATTTATAAATACACAACGTATATATAAATCGTATTTGCACCTCCGTAATCAATATTTTCTATGTTGTGTATTTATATCAACAAACTCTGATTATTTTATTCTCTACTCTTTTGTTTAGTTTGGCTATCCATGGAAGTGTGTTCTTTAAATTTTTGAACAACTATCAATTTAATATTCTTCTACTGTGACAAATCATTAAACGCGAGATTAATCCTTCTTATTCATTTTCTTCCCATGAATTAATCTCACTTCTCAATCATCATGAATTTGCCGGTTTACCCATACATCTCTTCAATATTTTTATCAATTCTGAAAATGTTTCCTAGCAAAAGTACGAATTTGCCAAGCGAGTAATTCGTATTATATTCCCTCATTAGTCAACAAGCCCAAAACTCGAATTCACGAAAAGCCAACTTGGCCTCAACCACTATAGACAAACTTTGACTCAAACAACAATTTTCAGTTTCTCCAATTCTTCTTCAGTTTTATATTGATTTATTCAATTTGATCTTATAGACCAATCTCGACTGAGACAACAATGTTTAGGAGTTTAGGATGAACCGCCTTGATCGAAGGACTAATTCGGACAATCGCCATTTTTGCCGTATGTATTCTAACACTTCTGACTGCCAAAAATTACAGTTTACCTAGTTACTTCAGAGTTCGAGAAACTCTACGAATAATTACCTGATAAGATAACTCATCTTCTCCTATGAACTTCGGAATTAAGGTATTTATTCGAAACCTCGTTCGAAACATGCTTCGCACCTCACTCATACGATATACACACATAATTTATACAATCATATACCGACAAAGAAGGAACATATTCCTGTGTGAATTATTAACTACAGACAGTACCTATTATTGGTTACTTTTGACTTCCACGTTAGCGTTAGCAAAATAGTTCTGTAGATAATCCGACTGGAGAAATATCAAACAAGGATATTTCGTTGCTATAGATTTTCTGTTCAGTTTCCGTTGCTTTTAGTCCTGTTATTGGGATTGCTAAAACCAAAGCTGTTATATCTCAGCTCGTGTTTTGGTTAGATATTATTCACAGTCTGTAAATATGTCCAAGGAGTTCTCATTTTCTTTCTTCTTTTCCTCTCTCGATTCTTTCCAGTTACTTCAATGTTCCTTCTGTTTCATAATTCGCATTGATTATCGCGATTCCATCTTTCAAACAAACCTTGACTCAAACAATAATGTTTAGGATGATCCGACTCAATCGAAAGACCAATTCGCAAAATCGCCATTTTTGTCGTACTTCAACACGTCTGACCGCCAAAACTTGCAGTTTGATTACTTACTTCAGGATCCGAGAATCTCCGCGAATAATTACGTACTCAATAAGATTATTCATTTTCTCTTTTGAGCTACGGATTGTACGTATTTATGCAAAACATGCTTCGCATCTCACTTATACATATAGAGTATACAGATCATATGCCTAGTCATATATCGACAAAGAATAAAAAAATCAGTTTTGATTATACGGTGAAAGAACCATTCAATTATATATCATTAGTTACTACTCGAGTTACTATTACCTACACCTACACTCAGACGAATGGTCGGTAGTAAATACCAAATGTTTAGTAAAATAGGCGCCAATCACTACTATCATCAAATAATACCCCAGCAAAATTGTATCATACTAAACTATTAGTATCAAACCATTTTGTACTGGCTATATTCGATATAGTTTAGTATTATACAATTTTGTAGTGGTGTAAGATGAATGTAGTGACTGGCGCCCATTTTACTAAACGTTTGGTATTCATTACCGACTATTTTTCTCAGTGTATACCACATTAGGGTTAGCGAAATAGTTTCACAGATCTCATGAAATATTTCGACTGGAGAAATATCATCTAAGGAAATTTTGTTGCTTTCCTATATAGATATTTTAGTCATTTGGATTGCTGAAATCGAAGCTGTTATGTTTTAGCTCGTGTTTTGGCTAGATAATATTCACAGTCTGTAAATATGTCCGAGGAATCCTTTTTTTTTTCGTTCAGGTTTCCTCTCATTGTGTTATCATCTCGCTGATTTCACATTAATTTATCTAGCTGTGCTTCAGTTCTTATTTTCTTCCTTCGTTTCCTCCTTGGTTTCCTCCCGATTCTTTCCAGTTCCTTCAATTGTTCTTCTCATAATTCGTATTGATTATCTCGATTTTATATCGGATGATTCGACTCGAAAGACCAATTCGCAAAATCGCCATTTTTGCCGTACTGACCGCCAAAACTTACAGGTTAATCAATTAGGTAGTTCAGAATTCGAGAAACTCGGCGAATAATCACCTTTCTAATAAGATGATTGGTTTTCTCTTCTGAACTTCGGATTGTAGGTATTCATTCAAAACATACTTCGCATCTTACTTATATACAGGGTGATCCACGGTGGATGGCCTATTAGAAGTATCTGGAGAACGAAAAGACAGAACATCCTGAAAATTGGGTTTCTTCGATAATTGAACATTCTCTATCCGTCTAAAATATTTTCATCGATACAGTGTTGCCACTTCTATCAGAAACAACTAGCAACTTTGTTATTTCAAATGGAACACCCTGAATTTTATTGCATTTTCAGATTCTTCCTGAAGAGCTGATTTCATAAATGTATCACACTTGGGGTCTAGCAGGAATGATTACAGAGATATAGGGTGTTCAAAATCAAGATTTTTCAATTTTAGGATTTTTTTGTGTCGAAACTATTCATTATCGATCAAAACGGCTTACATGTCCCTATCTTAACTTTTGATTGACTATCTACTGGAATTTGATTGGAAAAAATACAGGGTGCTTCAAGATTCAGAATTCTGATCACCCTGTATCTGTTCCAATTGAATGTCAGTAGATAGTGAATCGAAAGTTAAGATAGGGACATGTAAGCCGTTTTTAAACGCCTCGCAAGTGTTTCGCTAACTATGTTAGCATCTTCAGGAGAAGATTAAAACAGTTTCAACATAGTTAGCGAAACACGTGTCGAGGCGATTAAAAAATCGGTTTGATTAGTGGTAAAACGGTGTAGTGTATAGATTTTCTAGTCAGTTTGAGTTGCTTTTAGTCTTGTCATAGGAATTGCTGAAACCGAAGCTGTTATGTCTTAGCTCGTGTTTTGGTTAGATAATATTCACAGTCTGTATAAAGATGCCCGAGAAATTCCTTCTTTCGCTTAGCTTTCCTTTCATTGTGTTATCATTTCGTTGATTTCACATTAATTTATCTAGCTGTGCTTCAGCTATTATTTTCTTCCCTCGTTTCCACTTCGGTTTCCCCTCAATTCTTTTCAGTTTTTTTCTTCTTCTGATTTATAATTTGTATCGATTATCTCGATGTCATCTAATAAACAAACCTTGACTCAAACAAAAATGTTTAGGATGATCAGACTCGAAAAACCATTTCGCAAAATCGCCATTTTTGCCGTACTCCAACACGTCTGACCGCCAAAACTCACAGTTGAATCAATTACTTCAGAATTCGAGAAACTCTGCGAATAATCACCTACTCAATGAGATGAATTATTTTCTCTTCTGAGCTTCGAATTGAAGGTATTTATTCAAAACATACTTCGCATCTCACTTATATATACAGACTAGTATACAGATCATATACCTCGTCATATACCGAGTCATATACTCACCGACAAACGAGAAAAAAATGCCTGTGTTGATTATACGGCGAAAGAACCATTCGATTATCTATCAATCTATCATTAGCGTTTACAAAATAGTCTCCCAGATCTCATGAAATAATTCGACTGGAGAAAAAGCATCTAAGGAGTCTCCAGATATTTCGTTGCTTTCCTATAGATTTTCTAGTCAGTTTGAGTTACTTTTAGTCTTGTCATTGGGATTGCTGAAACCAAAGCTGTTATGTCCCAGCTCGTATTTTGGTTGGATGATATTCACAGTTTGTATAAATATGTCCGAGGAATTCCTTCTTTCGGTCCGCTTTCCTCCCATTGTGTTATCATTTCGTTGATTTCACATCAATTCATCAAGCTGTGCTTCAGTTCTCATTTTCTTCCCTCGTTTCCTCCTCGGCTTCCTCTCAATTCTTTTCAGTCCCCTCAATTTTCAATCTTATTTATAATTCGTATCGATTATCTCGATTCCATCTTATTGACAAACCTTGACTCAAACAACAATGTTTAGGATGATCAGACTCGATCGAAAGGCCAATCCGCAAAATCGCCATTTTTGCCGTAGTCCAACACGTCTGACCGCCAAAACTAACAGTTTAATTAATTACTTCAGAATTCAAGAAACTCTGCTAATAATTACCTACTTAATAAATTGAACTTCAGATTGAAGGTATTTATTCCGATGTATTCAAAACATGCTTCGCATTTCACTTGTATATCCAGACTAGTATACAGATCATATACTTCGTCATATACTCACCGACAAAGAAGAAAAAAATTCCTGTGTTAATTATATCACTATCACCTATACCATGTTGGCGTTAGCAAAATAGTCTTCCAGATTTCATGTAATAATTCGACTGGGGAAATATACAGATATTTCGTTGATTTCCTATAGATCTACTCGTCAGTTTTCGTTGCCTTTAGTCTCGTTATCGGGATTGCTGAAACTGAAGCTCCTATGCCTTAGCTCGTATTTTGGTTAGATAATATTCACAGTCTGTATGAATATGTCCGAGGAATTCCTTCCGATTGTCAGCTTTCCTCCCATTGTGTTATCATTTCGTTGATTTCACATCTATTTATCTAGCTGTGCTCCACTTCTTATTTTCTTCCTTCGTTTCCTTTCAATTCATTCCAGTTTCTTCAATTTCCCATCTGTTTCATAATCCACGTTCATTAAATCGATTTCATCTTATAGACAATCCTTGACTCAAACAACAATGTTTAGGATGATGCGACTCGATCGAGAGACCAATTCGCAAAATCGCCATTATTGCGGTACTCCAACACGTCTGACCGCCAAAACTTACAGGTTAATCAATTAGCAAAAAATTCGAGAAACACTGCGAATAATTACCTACTCAATGAGATAATTTATTTTCTCTTCTAAACTTCGGATTGTAGGTATTTATTCAGAACATGCTCCGCATCTGACTTATATATACAGACTAATATAAAGATCATATACCTCGTCATATACTCACCAACAAAGAAGAAGAAAATTCCTGTGTTGATTATACGGCGAAAGAACCATTCGACTATCATCAAACACTTTTACCTATACCATGTTAGCGTGAGCAAATTAGTCTCCCAGATCTCATGAAATAATTCGACTGGAGAAATATACAGATATTTCGTTGATTTCCTATAGATCTTCTAGTCAGTTTCCGTTGCTTTTAGTCTTGTCATCGGGATTGCTGAAACCGAAGCTGTAATGTCTTAGCTCGTATTCTGGTTAGATTATATGATAATATCCACAGTCTGTATAAATATGATTGAGGAATTCCTTCTTTCGTTCAGCTTTCCTTCCATTGTGTTATCATTTCGATGATTTCACATCAATTCATCAACCTGTGCTTCTGTTCTTCTATTCTTCCCTCGTTTCCTCCTTGGTTTCCTCTCATATATTTCCAGTCTCTTCAATTTTGACATTTGACAACTGACAAACCTTTTCTCAAACAACAATGTTTAGGATGATCCGCCTCGATCGAAGGACCAATTCGAAAAATCGCCAAATCGTCTAACCGCCAAAACTTAGAATACACGATACTACCCCTTCCTCCACCATCCGACCGCCCGAACTCACCCTACCACCCCCTTATTCACAGTGGAATCGTATTCGTTTCCAGGTTGCCTGCTAGACGGAGTGCCCCGACCGCCTGATGTGCCTCCCCGGAACCCCACGATGAGTCGGCTGAACGGGAGGCTAGCCTCTGCCCCTCCTGCGGACCCCTCGCAGGACTTCGAGCCGTCCTGCCTAGTGAGGACGCCGTCAGGAAACGTGTACATACCCAGTGGAACGCTTAGTGAGTTGTTAGATGGCTTTTTAGTTGGCATTTGCCAGGGGAAAATTGGTGGGTCAGGTGAAGTGCAGTGTTAAATGAATTGGTGGCGCGAATGGATGGAATAAGGTAGTACCTATTGATGTATCGTATTGGCTCATGTTAGCCTATGGCTGTGTCAAGTCTGTGGTTTGATTGGGCACATACGTTCAGTATGAAGTCTGACCGTCAGTCTGACCTGCCCACACAGTTACCACGTTAACTTCTGATGGGAGTTGAGTCAGCCATTGACCATTCGGTATCACCACTGTGGTCAGACGAATGAGTTGACGCAGCCTATGTTAGGCTGAACGAAATCAAAATAATGTTTGTCATGGTTAAGGGGCTCTCCTGAAGTCCATTTCTTCCCGAGTTTTTCACCATTCACAAAATGTTATCTACGCATTGAAAGTAATCGTTTGCTTCCCCCTTTAAGAACACGAACATGTCAATAATTCACTCCCACGGGAGAAAACAGAGATTACCTCCCGTGGGTTTGGTTTCGCGCTCGGTTTCGCGGTAGATATATATACAGGGTGTTTCAAAAAAACCTGACCCGCTTGCTAGGGTAGGTAGAACACTGCAAAATAAGTTGGTTTTGCTCAGTGAAAAAATGTCGTAACGGCATCCGTTTTCATGATACAAGGTGTTGAAAAAATTATTTTTTTACTCATTTTTCACGATTCTGTCGAAACTACTGATGGCAACATTGTAATGAAATTTTGTATGGATGTTTCTGGGAATCTGACACATCGCATGAATTTGTTTTTATATCTGACTCTCATAGAGGGCGCTAGTTACACGGTTCGTACCGAGTAGTTTAGAACATAACTTTCTTGAGGTTAGATTTTTCGATCCAAATATGATATGAACTTCAACATCATTCAATTTTACACCAATATGGTACTCTTGGTGAAACTCGATACTATGTTTCGTTTTCGGAATATTTCGATTTGAAAATAATGGAGTAGTAATGATGCTGGTATAAAATGAATTTTATTGAGTTCAGTTACCAATTAAGATTCAAAAACAATGGGAATATTCTTGTGCTGAAGTTATTGATGGAACAAAGAATCATAAGTAGAAAATTAAGAGATATTCGACTAGAAACATGAAATATTGAATCAGTTAGAGTAAATTTAAAATTTCCTTCGTTTCGACGAATTCACGATTCTATATTCTTTTCTTAAGAATGTATTATTCTTCTAAACAGTTGAGGACCAGCTGTAGACTTTCTGCTCAAGATAAAACAAAACTGTGCAATCCATGTTTATAGTCAAATCTGTTTTGATGTTATTCTCGTGATTCATTGTTAAATCAATAAGTTTAGCATCAAAAATGTATTGTTGTTTTCGGTTTTCAATAAATAGGTGATAATTTTTCATAATACTCACTCTAATACATAGCTTTATACCAGCAACAGTAATCACTTCATCATTTTCAAATCGAAATATTTCGAAAACGGAACACAGTATCGAGTTTCACCAAGAGTACCTTTTTGATGTGAAATTGAATGATGTTCAAGTTCACATCAAATTTGGATTGAAAAATCTAACCTCAAAAAAGTAATGTTCAAAACTACTTGGTACGAACCGTGTAACTAGCGCCCTCTATGAGAGTCAGGTATCAAAACAAATGCATGCGATGTGTCAGATTTCAAGAAACATCCATACGAAATTTCATCACAATGTTGCCAGTAGTTTCGACGTAATCGTGAAAAATGTGTATAAAAATCATTTTTTCAACACCTTGTATCTTGATAACGGATGCCGTTACGAAATTTTTTTACTGAGTGAATCCAACTTATTTTGCAGTGTTCTACCTACCCTAGTAAGGAAGTCAGGTTTTTTTGAAACACCCTGTATGTATAAGATTTGTGCTACCCAAGTACCTAATCAGTGTCTCAAATATCAAATAACAATTTTCTTTCTGAACTTCCATGATCTCATGCACCTCTTCATATTCCAAACTAACTCAATTGAAACTTTAAAATGCTTTAACACAATAAACAAATTCAATATGACAGAAGTGTCAAATTGATTTTCGTTCAGATTCAAATAGGTACTGTCAATTGTCCATGGCATAATGCACTTTTATAACACATTTATTTGGATCGAGACTAGGGAGATCTCGAGGGAGATAGACCGCCTAAGGCCCAATTTCAAGAACGACGCTCACAAATATATGCGTTCGTGGATAAAGTCATTTCCTCCCTTGTGTGTTCAATCAAACTCTATAAGCGGGAGGGAATTGATACCTTTGTTTCCTTGATATATAAAGAGCTATTGTTGCTCTCACCGTAACGAAATAGTATATTGTAACGAGCACCTGCGAATCATACGATTAGGAAATTAGTGTTCCCTGTTAGTTATAGACTATAATTTTTCTAGGGCTGTAACAGATAACAGCGAAGAATATTGTATAACTCGCACGGAATGCTAATTCCTCACCCGAATGATTGCATAATTCGCCTACGGCTCATGCTGCAAACTTCATTCTCGTGGGAAATCACTATCATTCCGTGATCGTTAAACAATATACTATCTTATAGCAAGGTTTCAAGTGTAATTCTCCTGGTCATCCATGCTTCGCACCCTCGACTGTAAACATCTGGTGAGATTGCAATATCTAATATCACCTAGCTTTTCATATGTTAAGGTAAAATTAATTGGTTTCTGATGAGAAAAAGTTGGTAATACAAAAAATTTCATATATGCTGTGCAATAATATCACATTATTATAGCACTACAATTTGGTATACTCATATTAGAATTTATGGACAGGAGAGCAACAATTTTTCTGGAAATTTGGCAACAAAGAAAACACTCAATCATGGAATAAAGTCCTATTGATTTTGCTCATGGGGTCATGTCAGCTTGACATGCATATCGTGATGGTTGGTTGTTCTTGTAAATAATCGCTAAGTAGGTAGTTCATGAAAAACTGGAATCGAATTACCATCATCGGTTCTTTCTTGCAAGTTGAAAAAAATTGCATCCGTGGAGCGAAAAATTTCACTCGGTTGTTTCATTGAATCAATTGAATATGACTTTCAATTCAATGGTATCGTTTTAGTCGGAGAAGTATCAAGAAAGGATGTTGCTTTTCGAATGAAAATTTTCATATTCGGGATAATAGCATCTTGTTAACCTTTGAGACAGATACAATAGAAGAAGGAACTTCTAGTCCAAGAAACAACACGCATTATTTACTTCGCAAATTACGCTAGTTCATCTGTTTCCAACTATGCATCATTTCAAAACAATGAGTTCATTCTGTGGCCAAGGTCGATGAATTCCAAACAAGCTAGACACTCAAAATAATTATTTTAATAAACATTTGCATTCTTAGGTAGTTTCACAGTGAGTTGTTTCGTTGTTTCGTAACCAAAATATCAATAGATAAAGAAAAAGGATGTGGTCAAGTGGTTGCAATTCGAATACATAATGAAGTAATGACTAATGCATTATCTTCCTTGCGAGATCAGACAGACCACCTACAATTTTTGAATAAATTAGGAAATAATTCAACATGATTCAACGAACGGTTCTGCCTGGTTCTGTCCTATAGATACACCGTTATGAAGGTAGTGTTTCATTCGATTTTTCGAAATCGATGGAATACTTATAACGAAGGGTAAAACTCGGTGATTAGGCGATGTGTAGATGTAGAATGAGATTATTGAAAATTTAAAGATGGAATCGCAAATTGGATTTTTTTCGCTTCAGAACGATGCCCTTTCTCAACTTCAATTTCATATTCCGGAAGAAGTGTTGTTTTTTTCCATCTGAACACTAAATATTTCATGGTATATTCTGAAAGAGTCATTTTTTATTATTTATAATACACAGAGTGTTATCTAAGTATGTAGCCAAACTTCGAGAGTGGATGTTTCGAGGGATTCCAAGTCAAAAGTTCATTTGAACATATAAATACACCGCGAGATACACCGTTTTCGAGATACAGCGTGTAAACTTTCGAAAAAATCGCATTTCCGTAAATATCGCATATATATAATATTGCAGTGCGATTTGTAGTAGTAAGGTACTAATAAAGTCATTATCATTAAATTTACGAAAATCCCATTTTTCGAGTTTAACACAGTGTATCTTGTAAATTATGCATTCTCAGAGCTATTGTCGTATACCAGGTGTCCCAACTTATCGTATACAGGCAATTTCTCGCTTATTTGTCAAGATAATTGAAAAACTCAAAAACTGCATTAAATTGCATTGAAGTACCTTCCTCATAAGATTAAAAACCTCTTAATTCATTTGACAGTTCTCTGGCAGCTATCCTCCACTTTTTATTTTCAAATGACATATTGTCATTCGAAATTGCGTGCCATCCTATAAGGAATACAACGATAGCATATACTTGGTTATACTTATTTTATATTATGTAAACATCGGCTTCTTCAAACAAAAAACTTGAGTGGAGGCAATATTTAATTTTTATAAAGATAATTGAGTAACTTGAAACAAGTCACAATGTTGATATTTTTGTATTTTTGTTATCAATAAGAAAATATCAAGTATACGCTATCGTTGTATTCGAAATTGAGTGACACGTAATTTCCAATGAAAATATACATATGCCATTTGAAAATAAAATGTGGGGGGTAGCTGCCAGAGAACTGTCAAATATCATGAATTCTTTTATATGTCCTTTGGAAGGAACTTCAGTACCATTCAATGAAGTTTTTGAAGTTTTCAACTATCTTGTCAAAAAAGCGAGATCGTTGAACTGACTCACAGTATCAACGGCAAAAGTAATGTCAGGCCTAGTTCCTTGTGAAACGTATAATCATCTATGTTATGCTATGTTATTTACTCGGTTATTTATTATTATAATCATATACTGTATTAGTTTGACCAGGGTTTCATTGCAATTACTATTTGCTGCTGCCGTCGCTGCAGTTTCCAACAGAGGTATTACCTGTATACGATAACTTGGGACACCCGGTATGAACATTTCGTCTCATA